CATTGAACATTTGGATATAAGACACTACATGTCCCCATTGCTGCAGCTGTTATTTTGGATGGTGAAGTCTGACATTTATGGAGGCTCAATGACAAAACCACGGTGGGCTAATATCCTTTGTTAGCAGGAGGCTTTGGTTAAAAAAATAGTCTAAATGCCCAAGTGTTGCTCTCTGATGATCTGTTTAATACTAAGTGTTTCACAGAGAACACAGCATTGTTAGTCCTGCTGTTTCTTCCTCTTTATCATTAGCGAGCAGCAGAATCTTTCCCTCCATACTTATCACTGATTCTGAGTTATCTCTAGAGTTTTGCCACAATTAGAGAAATCAAACAGATATTAACACAATCCAACATATTTTGTTAGTCGTTTAGGCTCATTTCAGGTCTAGATTTAAATGTATAATATAAACTTAACACACCGCGCTCAGAATTGTATAAAACTGATGTGCAGCTGGTAAGAAATTATCACTGAACTTTATTTTTCCTGCTGTGCTTGTTTGCAGACCAAATGCTGAAATCAGACTGATGCTCTACTCAGCCAGTCACAAGACTCTCTATGATTATTGTGTAACATATTTCTGATGTCCTGCCTTTTGCCGCCCTAGGCAAGATTTTAGCTGGCGCCCCCTCCACTCCCAAAATGCAGACACTCACTATGACTCGCGCATTAATGCACGTGCACGGTTGTGGCATGACCACCAAAACAGAAAGATATGGACACAAGATGTGTGCAACTGTATTTAGTATCCTATCCATTTGAACATGATTTAAGTGGGGGTGGACCTAACATCCTCTAGGGGGGTCCGGGGGCATACTTTTTTTAATATTGAAGTTAAAAGCATCAATCTGGTGCACTTTGAGAGCAAAATTAAGAGATCTATAGATACATCTCTCAACATCAATATGAAACAGAACTGTAAGCAGATTTCATTTTTCTTTCTGGACATTTCACAAATCACTCTCCTTTTAAACTGTATTCTTGTTTATTAATAACAACTTTTTTTTACTGTCATATAGTATTTTATACCTGTTTTTCATCTATTCTCTTATTTTTTTATAACTATAATGATCATATAAAGGTGTGCCTTTACCTCACTGAGCTGAGGTTATCAGAGCCTCTCAGTCTTTCAGGAGAGAGCTCTCTAAAGCTCTTCCCCCCGCGGCCGCTTACACAGTAAATTATAATGTTAATAAAAGCACACAGAAGCTGTATACGTTTTTTGGGAGTTTGATTTATTTTAAATTAACACAAATACAAAATTAAAACCTATAATTGCACACTAAAACCATTATTTCAAAAACAATTTCACATAAGCCTCTGGTTTTTACTGGGGCTGGGGCAGTTCATCTTGATTTGTGGGGGGGGGGGGGGGTGTGCCATAGTTTATGGGCGCTGTACGCAATATAGGCGTAGTTCTGTTAGTATAAGATAATAAGATGTACTTTGTTGATCCAAAATCGGGAAATTGTGTTGTTATGAAATTTCAAAACAAATATTTGTTTAATTTCTAACTTTGTTTTTTTTATCCCCCAATTTTTGGCGCCCCCGATGGGTTGATGCGCCTTTAGCATTCGCCTATAATGCCTATGCCAAGGGCCGGCCCTGCCTTTTGCCTTTAGTTTATGTTTGTGTGGAAATCAACGCTTGCTGTCTGCAAAAGGCTCAAGGCCAAAGTAGAGAGTGAACGTAAGGATTAGATTCACAGTTGAACCTCGAGAGAAAAGCCTGGCTCCCAGTCTTCAACCCACAAACTTTTCCATAATATGAAACCACATTTAACCCTCTCAAATTTGTCATTGTTCCAAACCAAATATATCGGCACTGTTACCACCCACTGCGAACAACAACAAAACCCCACAAGAGAAAAGAGGTTGTTGTCAAGCTCGACCTGGTTATTTTCCTGTTATTTTCACATGGCTTCTCTGTTGCACACATCCAAGCCAATTTAAAACACTTTGGAAAAGTGGCAAGGCATTCATACAGGTGTTGCTATGACAAAGTCCCACAAGTAGAGATACTGCAGACATGGATAAAAAGGAAGACTAAGATCTTCTCGAGCCACAAAGAACATTGGGTTGACAAGGTAGGAGTTCATAAGGTTAATTGAGAAGCTGGCCTCGATTGACTCTGCTTACAGTTACCGTTATGCCTGTAAAACTTTCCGTACTCTCACCGAATACAGAGCAAAGATAATATTAGCAGATGGACTACTAATGATGGAGTACCATCATTGTAGTCAAAGGTAGACACTGGCATGCTTCTTTTTCTAGCTAGTGACTAACCATTTTGGCTGTAGCTAGAGTTGAAGCTAATGATAGCTTTATGAGTTGGTTAAAATCGGTCTCGTGCTGACTTTTTTCAAGTGTCCTAGACAGGTAAAGATGTTTTAAATATGCACTGCTCTGACATAGATGATTTTCTGCAAAAAGACTGAGGCTAACTCTGAATGTCCCACGCAAAATAATTACATTATTGTTGAATATATGGAAACAAAGAAGTGTTCATACACTGCAGATAGCTAGTTAGTTAGTAGAAAAATAACAACAATGTAAGACCAGAGTGTTATTTAATGATGTTGTGTTCAGAAGTTTAACTTGTATAAATGGATTAATAAGACCTGATGCCTTATTGTTTTTATTTTCAATAGGTTTTTTTTACTTTTAACATCACAAGTAAAAATACTTTTAAAATAAATATTTGTTTAATATATAAAGAAGAAAGGTAATTTCCCCGTGGGTTTCTTCTGACTTTTGCAATGAGAAAAGATCAGAATCAGAATAAAAGTTAAAGACATTTATTTATTGGCTTTACTTTTGCTTAACTTTTCTTAGGGATATGTTCAGCAGATGGCTATTAAACTGATTAACCACGCTAAGGTCTGACATTGTGACCCATTATCTCTCTGAGAGGAACAGAAGAGTCGGCCCCTTGCTAATGAGCCTGGTATTAACGGCACCATCTGAGGTGAAACAGGAAGCAATGCCAGAGAGTTTTCACACAAACAAGTAGCAGCTATATTAGCAAGCTTATGTTTGCAGGGAATTAAGTGTGTTAGTCTGGTGTAGCAATATGAATTGCTCCATGTAAATATCCACTTCAGGAAAATGACCACTCATTTCAATATAAACGTGGATTTGCGTAAAAAAATAGTTTTTCGGGGTTCGGGTGTTTTGTTTGATTTTAAATAACAAAGTCTTGGCTTTCAGAATATGAAACTTTTATTTCCAAAATCACACGATAAATACATTTGTGAAGCTTGTAAAGGGAAGATGACAGCTCTCACTCACCACTCTGCTGTTCCGCAGCGCCGCCCCCCCTGACTGAAATTATGAATGTAAGGCGTATAATCATAGATAACACGGCAGGGTCCGTTACAGTTTGTTTTTATCTGATTTCAATTAAACAAAGTCTTGGTTTTCAGAATATTAAACTTGTTTCGGCAAATTCAGATGATAAATACAACTTTGAAGCTTGTAACGACATAATTGCAAGCGGAGAACGGAGTAACTTAACGTCACAGCAGGCATAACAACAGCCGGTGTTTCTCGTGAGGGTTTTCCCCGGGAAACAAACACAATACACACAAACGCAAAATTACACAAACACACACGTATACACACACACACTGTAAAAATATTCACCGTGAATTCACAATAAATACCTGGCCAAATTTTGCATGTCTTTCACAGTAAGATTCATAGCAATTTACTGTGAATGTCTTCACAGTATGTATTGTAATTTCACACCAATGATTAGTTGAGTAAAGTTAGAACGATATTGGCAGATTCGGATTTCACGGATCAATAACTCATGAACAAAACGTTATTCACACACAAATGATGTCTCCTATGTACCGTGGTAAGGTTGACAACGAACTACAATCATATGTTGATAAAAAAAAAACAATATGCGCCGTCCTCAAAACTGGACAAATTACATTGGTCTCTATCTGCAGCCGGAAAAGGAATGAGTGCTCAGGGACCGTCTGCAAAGTGCAACTCCGAAAAAAGAGAATACAATAATATTCAATAATATTCACTAGCGTCACTATTATACAGTGGAGTGCTACCAAACTCACTACACACATCAATAGTCTCCTGGTGGTTGGACTACAGCAGAGAGTTTGGAAGAATGTGCTTTTGAATAATTTTGGTGAATATTTATAGTGTAAAATCTTCAATAAATATGGTATAATCTTCAATAGCGTCACTATTATACAGTATATGTCTCCCAAACTCACTACACACATCAATAGTCTCCTGGTGGTTGGACTACAGCAAAGAGTTTGGAAGAATTTGCGTTTGAATAATTTTGGTGAATATTTATAGTGTAAAATCTTCAATAAATATGGTATAATCTTCAATAGCGTCACTATTATACAGTATATGTCTCCCAAACTCACTACACACATCAATAGTCTCCTGGTGGTCAGACTACAGCAAAGAGTTTGGAAGAATTTGCTTTTGAATAATTTTGGTGAATATTTATAGTGTAAAATCTTCAATAAATATGGTATAATCTTCAATAGCGTCACTATTATACAGTATATGTCTCCCAAACTCACTACACACATCAATAGTCTCCTGGTGGTTGGACTACAGAAGAAAGTTTGGAAGAATTTGCGTTTTGAATAATTTTGGTGAATATTTATAGTGTCCAAATCTTCCATAAATATGGTATAATCTTCAATAGCGTCACTATTATACAGTATATGTCTCCCAAACTCACTACACACATCAATAGTCTCCTGGTGGTTAGGTCCCCAACACATTATATCATATATTTTGCATTTAAAAGGTCAAATGCTTATTTTGAAAAGCTTGGTTTTACATTTTTATTACCCTCTACTATAAAACATCAATGTTATTTACCCAGGATATTCAAAATGCTAAATAATTAGTCTGATTTTAGCACAAGTAGGCCAAATTGTTGTGTCCCAAATCATGTTTGCTCAACTTCTCTAACAGATATAAACAAATAAATCAAATTCTACATTTTTGTCACTATTGTATAACCCTTTTATTAATATTCCTCACCAAATTTAAATTGTTGTTAATTCAATTTTCTTGATTTAATTTTTTTTTAAAGTGTGTGTCCCCTGTTTTAATGTCCCCCCTGTTACTCTGATTTGAATCCCTCTGGACACGCCCCTTTACTATTCTACTATTTGTATGACTCAAGAAGAAGGATACATTTTGAGTGGGAAAATCATCTTCAAGAAGCAGAGTAAGTATGCACTCTTCCTTCAACGATTTTTTAATGTTTTTAACGAACTTAACTATTGCGGTAAAGCATAACATGTCCACCCTGTTATGCTCATTTTGTGTGGAAACTGATCAAAATGTTTACATTTAGAAAAAAATGTGAATATATCTATCAAATATCTTTCTCTGTTGTCACAAGTGCTAGCTTGATTATCATCACACATGTAGCAATAGCCAAGTTTAGCATGAAATGTCCACCTTGTTACCGTCTACCCTGTTACTATTTTTCACAGTAACAGGGTGGAATTATTTAAACATAATATCCTGAGCTTAACCAAAACATGTTTCTTATACTTTAACAAGCCATCATTCAGATTAAATTAAAAAAATTATGTTTTTTTATTTTTATTAACCTAGCTGAAGTTAGTTAGTATTTGATCAACTGAAATGTTACTGAATTAAAACTACAAACAAATGTTATTTGTTCCTGTGATGTAATATTACACATTTTAAAATGACAAATGACTATTTTTGCAAACAAAAACAAAAACCCAACTTAGTGTTACATATTTGAACACAGTTTTTTATTATATGTGCTTCTAAAAAGTTTACTTTTTATCTTTTTATATTGAGAAAAACTATTTCGCTTTGCCTTTCCTCCTTTAGGTTAGAGGAAGTTTGAAAATAATGGGAAGAGTTAAAAAAGGAAAGAGGGCCCAGAGGAAGGACTTATGGGCAATGGCTGGTGGAATGGAAGCATTGGTCCGAGGACTGAAGAGTGTTCACATTACCAAAAGAGATACAGGACATTCTTCATATATTTGGTCGGAACTCGCTATAATCCTTTTTGGTCATGATGATAAGAAACACCGTCATTGGCTGTGGGTTGTATGGACCAACAATCGAAAAGGATTGAGGGATTTGATCAATAAACGTCAAAAATCATTAGAGCAGAAGGAAGTTCAGGTAATGGAGGAAAATCAAAACGAGAGAGATGTTGGAGGGGAATGTTCTGAAGACTGTCTTTCAAAGGACTTGCCTCTGAGCATGATTCAGCATAAGGTATCAGATGAGGACATAGACAAGAATGAGGCAGAAGACAAACAACAAAGGATGTCTTCTCAGAGTGGACTTGAAGATGACCAGTTATCAGATGAGGACATAGACAAGAATGAGGCAGAAGACAAACAACAAAGGATGTCTTCTCAGAGTGGACTTGAAGATGACCAGTTATCAGATGAGGACATAGACAAGAATGAGGCAGAAGACAAACAACAAAGGATGTCTTCTCAGAGTGGACTTGAAGATGACCAGTTATCAGATGAGGACATAGACAAGAATGAGGCAGAAGACAAACAACAAAGGATGTCTTCTCAGAGTGGACTTGAAGATGACCAGTTATCAGATGAGGACATAGACAAGAATGAGGCAGAAGACAAACAACAAAGGATGTCTTCTCAGAGTGGACTTGAAGATGACCAGTTATCAGATGAGGACATAGACAAGAATGAGGCAGAAGACAAACAACAAAGGATGTCTTCTCAGAGTGGACTTGAAGATGACCAGTTATCAGATGAGGACATAGACAAGAATGAGGCAGAAGACAAACAACAAAGGATGTCTTCTCAGAGTGGACTTGAAGATGACCAGTTATCAGATGAGGACATAGACAAGAATGAGGCAGAAACTGAAGAACAGAATTTGCAAAGAGGAGCACAAGATGTCAATAAAAACACAGGCACCAAAACACATTGGCGGAAGTTGCCAGTAGTATCTAAAAGGTTCGGAATAACAGTAAATAGAAAGAAATGGCAAAAGATTGTTCCTTTGACGGGTTCAAACAAACTGAGGCAACCGTGGACCGACGTGTTGTACAAGAGTTTCCGAGAGAAAAATCCCTGTTGTACGCTTGCCTTCAAGAGTCACCACATAAAAACTCCCAACAGCAGGAAAATTAAAAGTCCGTACTTAAACATCTGTGCAGTTTGTACATTCCCTTCCTGCAGGGCCAAATTCTTCTTTAAAATCCAAAATCAGCCAGTGGGAGACACCCTTGTTAAAATACCTGTGCTGCAAAGAGGGAAAATGGCACACAAAGCAAATGAGACAAAATTCCGACCAGCAGCAAACAGAAGAAGAGGCAGAATTGCAAGAGCCCTGCATAAAGGAGTGAGTCAAGTATTTTACAGTAAACTTAAAAAAAACACCTGTTGCTGAACTGATTTCAGGAAACATAAGCCGTAGTCTGAACAAAAATGTTCTCAAAGTGATACGTTCAGAAGTAAGAAGAGGTAAAAGAATCCATGAGGATGTTTCATGGAGATGTACCTCACACAAATGATCATTAAGGAATGTGACTCAAATGATCGCAGGATGCCTGGGTACATACAGCATTTTCAAGTTGACCCATTTGGAGTACATATGTATTCTGAAACCGGAGTAAACATAGTTGTGCAACACCTGAGAAAGAAGAAAACCGCTGACCCTATATCTAGATGCTACAGGTAATGTTGCAATCCAAAGATCCAGGTCAGACCAAAAGAGTGCTTTATTACTGCCTCACTCTTCCTGGAGGTGGTCAGCAAGTACCTCCCCTCCCAGTCTGTGAAATGCTGACAAATGAACACTCCATTCCACCAATCACATTCTGGCTAATGCAGTTCCTCCGCAAACTGTCACAGTACACTAAAATAAAAGTACATCAGGTAGAAACAGACTACAGCTGGGCCCTGCTCCAAAGTGTTCTCCTTTCTTTTAACAAAGAGAGCATTGTCAGTTACTTGGACAGGGCTTTCGCTATCTGTTCAAAGCTGAAGTCATGGAAGGAAATCAAAATGTTGACAGTGCTACACATTTGCTCTGCACACGTGCTGAAAGCTGTAGCTCAGTCAATTGGGAGAAGGACTGCAGACAAGGGTTTGAAGGAATTTGCAACATTTGCATTTGCGAGGTTGCAAAATGCTACTTCAATGACCACAGCACTACACATCTTCCGCTCACTGTGCACTGTGTTGATTGGAAAGCACAATTCCAATGCTGTCCTGATCCATCTGAAAGCCATGAAGGACTTCATAAAAGAATGCAGGATTCCCGACATGGAAGAGGGGGACAAGTTAGGAGACAGTCCCTTAACTCAGGAGGAAGATGATGAAGAAAGAAGAAATGCCCACACAATTGTTGGCAGATCTCCCTTCACATATGAGTTTAGGAAGGTCATGGAGGAGGTACAGGGAGAGCTTGAAAAAGAGGAGGTCGAAACCCCACAGGATGAAAATCCATACTTTTGCCCTGGCATTGTTGATGTCCTTTTTGACAACTATCTAGGGATTTTTCCCCTTTGGAGTGGGCTGCTGTTGGGGAATTTGAAAAGATATGCAACTGACACAGAGGAAGACACATTTGGCCAAAGTAAAACAAGGGACACAAACTGCCATGTGGAGAGATGGTTTGGAATAGTCAAACATTCTATTCTAAAAAAGCAGAGACGACTGAGGCCAGCGACATTCATCAGAAAGATGTATGGCTCTCTCCAGGGGAGGTACAGAGAACACATAATGGCACATCACTTATCTGAGCAGTTACTCCTCAAAACTTTGCTACCAAAAGACATCAGTCAATCGAAGGAAGGTTGGGCAAAGAGAGATGGAGCAAAGCCTCGCACTTCCAGCTCCAAATATTACAACCACTCCAGACATTCTTCCAGTTCCAAAAAGAGCAAAGTTAACTCTGAACACTGGTGAAGATATTCAGAGCAGCACAGATGTGGAGAACAGCAGCAACCCACAAGTAAAGGGTCCAAGCCTGCAACAGAGGTATTGTTTTGCTATATTAAAATGTATGCTTTAAAAAGAGTAACAAAGTAAGCAATTCTTCGAGCTATAAAAACAACGTTAAGAATGCATTAAAAACGTTTTAGCATGAGGCAATCTTTCTGTCATAGAAAACGTAGAAAATCTAAATGCCGAAATCTCGAATGCTGTACGAAGTTATTATGATACCATTGTTCATTTCATTTTAGGTTGATGCCCTTTGGACATGCAAACCAACTGAAGTTGTTGTGGCTGTTGTAAGACATGCTGAAGAGAAGCATAATTTCACCCTGAGGCACAGAGAATTTCAGAGTTTGAGACCTGACGAACTCATCATAGGCGAGGCAAGTATTTATTAAAACTTATGCTGTACCGGACTGCTCATCTCACGTAAGCCATATGTTAATGATTCAATTGTTGACAAAAAGTATGTAAATGATATCCAAGTAAATTGTTAGGCCAGTCCACCTGGAGTGTGACTTTAAATAGACCAGTTTTAATTTATCCATTCTAAAATGATCTGACAATGATGTGATTAAAACCGACTTTGGCCTCTATATTAGCTGGCATTTTGTATGACTATTTCCCCTACAATTTATCCAAAAGGTAATGGAATGTTACATTAGAGGCATCCTCAACCTGAAGGATAATGCTGGTCGTCTATATCTCCTGGATCACTACACCATGGGTGTAATCCTACACGGCACCCGAGAGCAGATAGCCAGGCAAGAGCTAAAAAAGGTGAGTGAAACTGATTATTCAAAGTATTTTCATCCCTTTAGTATTGTAGGCTTGAGAAAGGAGACAGATATGTGTCTACAGGCAACTTCCAGCGTTATTATATGTATGTCGTTTTTGGAGACATTTGTTTTGTTTTTAAACCAATACATTTATAATCTAAGCTTCCCTTTTTTTTCTTGTTCCTGTTGAGAAAAATAAAAAATGAATACTGTGTAAATTAAATTATTGTTTTGCACCTGTATATTATAGAAAATAACACTTATGTTTACCATGTTCCCTAATTTTTTCAGGTGACATTTGATCTCTATGATGGAGCCATTGGATTTGTCAATATAAGAAATGTGCACTGGAAGTTTGTGGTGAGTATACAGCTACTCGTGTAGTCATACTGTAGCTGCTTTTAGAGTTTGCACATTTCAAGTTCATCAACTATTACTTGAAGATGTATGATTACATTTATTCAAATGCATACAACTAAATATACATTGCTATTAAACATATTGCAATACATTACTCATATACTGTGACAGAGTTAAGACTAACATGTGTATCTCATGCAGCCCCATTTTGTAAATGCATCTTTGCCTCAGGACTGATTTAAAAATGCTTCTTTTAGTTTTAATGTCTTCACGTTCATCTATATCATAGGGAAACCATATAACATGTAGTCCAAAATAAGTACTCATTCAAACATTTCTCATTGGTGGTCGCTACTGCTGCTCTCCGCTAAAGATTTGAGTCTTCTGACCCCAAATTGTGCACTTTCTTTCATCTGATATCTTTAATTATTTCAATACTTTTAAGTCTTAATTATACCCC